TTACTATATGTAAAATTTATTACTTACTAGTTATTCATGATCTAAATGATACATCCATCATCGGATCTAATAGAGCTTCCTCGAGTTAAAAAAACTATTGTGAGGACATCCGCAACGGGGGCACTATCGATAGGGGCATTAATGGTGGAGATTCCAACTTGCTAATGCCACTATCTAGTCTATGGCTCTAGACACTTGCACTAGCAGGTGCAATGTCCACATACATTACGCCATCGGAGCAACGGCCGGTAGCATCTCGACCATATCTATTCAATTCACATGGCATAATTTTAGAATAACACTTGAAATAATTTAACAAATACAGCAAATGAATAATAATTTGACTCAAAATATATTATAAATTTTTTTCCTAAAAAAAACAAAAATTCAGCATAGTATCTTCGTAAATTGGATATTTTCGTATTATTGAAAATATCATCTACATAAAATTCAACACATCCACAACGCTAGAACAAATATTTTAAAAATACATAATAAACAAAATGATATAATTTAATAAACAAAACAAATAAAATTAATTTTTAATTTTAATTATCATAATTATCTTCTAAATTTTTCTCTTCCTCAATCGATTCTTTATCATTGGACTTACTATTTATTATTATTATTTTCAAGATGTAATCGATATTGCCACTATGCTTGTAATGTTCTTACCATAGGCTCCCTGGATCATTCAACAATGAACCCAATTTTTGTAGTTCCATAATTATTCGCTACACACAAATATATATATATATATATATATGTATGTATGTATGTATCAAGTCTTGATCTAAACACGATAATCTTGTTATCGATGATGTTTAGCGATCATAAAAATATATGTATCAAAATATAAAGTTACCACTCAATTTTTTTAAAGTAAAAACTAAAAACATAAAAATATATGTATCAAAATATAAAGTTACCACTCAATTTTTTTTAAAGTAAAAACTAAAAACATAGAAACTTAATACTAATCTTAAGAGTTTGAGTTAAAAGAGTTAATTATAGAACTAGAGAAGATTACGGAAACACTAGCTAGTGTGCTATAACAATGAAATTATCTTATGAAAATTTATTTATACAAGTCAATTTCGGATTTACTTATTTATCTATTTGAGAGTTTGATTATTGGGTTTTTTTTTTAAAAAAAAAAACTCAAATAGAATGATTTGAAGACAAAAAAAAAAAAAAAAAAAAAAAAAAATTCAGCCTCTCGCCTTACTGCCTAACTTGTTATTAGGTTATTATACCCCACTTGAAAAGATGGAAATCATAGCACATTAGGATAAGGATGATTGCCATTGGGACATTATAATCAAAACTTTTATGATCAGTTTTAAGTTTATCTTAATTTTTACTTTTAAAATTTTGATTGGCTACCTTACATCTTTAAATTATATTTTTATGATCCTCGAAATGTGAATTTATGACAGCGGAGTTAACATAACTTTTGTTTCTGACAGCCATTTGAACTACAGAGCAGAAAGGTGTTTTTACTTTTTAGAGGGTGATGGAACTAATAAATGATGTCGTTTGTTTAATGCACCGGAACGCACTTGGATCAACTAATTACTTTACAAAGCCCAGATTCTATGAAATAAAATTAAGCCCATTATACAAACACTATTATTTATAAAAATAAATAATAAAAAAAGCCTGGTTCTCATAAATAATCCCAAACTTTCTTTTCAAACGGCAAACTTCAACCTTTGTCAATATAACCCAACATGACGCTATTATTTTAAATCCAGATAATTGCACTATACGCATCTTAAGTTTTGATTTTTTTCTACCGAGTGTATAAATTTTAATTTTTTTATTTAAATATATTAATTTTGTTAAAATTACCAATCAAATATTTTTGTCAATTTTTTTGTTAATTGATAATATGTCCGGTACTATCAAAATATCAAATTATAATTTTATTCCTTTCTCAATTGAGTACATGAATTTTTTTAGTACATCAATTTTTTTTAAAACTATCGATGAAATATTTTCATCACTTTTTTTTATTAATTAATGATGTATTCGATTATAAAATTATAATTTTACCCTCTTTTGTTGAAAAAAACTCTCTTTAAATTATTTTACTATTTTATAAGTTGACACATAATTAAAAAAATTATTTTTGATCTCTAAAATTTCAAACTAAACTCAATTAGATTGTTGTTAAAAAAAAAAATCAATTAGGTTTAAAGGTGAAAATTGAATAAAAACATAAATGAGTATTCTCGATAAAAAATCTCACATTTGTGTTTCCTTCAATTTTCACACTTAAAACCTAATTGATTTTTTTTTTTAACAACAAGCTTTACTAAGTTTATATAGTTCGAGATTTTATAACTAAAAATATATATTTTAAATTTTTTGTCAAATTTTAAAAGGATAGAATAATTTAAGGAAAAAGTTCCTTACAACAAAAGATGAAAAAAAATATAATTTGGTATTCGAACACATTATCAATTAATGAAGAAATTGACGAAAGTACTTAATTAATAGTTTTGAAAAAATTGATGAACTCAATCTGAAAAAAATTAAATTTCATGTATTCCATTGAGAAAAAGTGCAAAATTATAATTTAGTATTTTGAGGATAATGGAAACATCATCGATTAACCAAAATATTGACGAAATATTTGACTGATAGTTTTGAAAAAGATTAATATACTAAAATGAAAAAAAAATTAAAGTCTTGATTGAGAAAAGAGTATTGAAAGTTGGTATATTTATATTGTAATTATCCCTTTTAAGCCCTGGTCTTTCAAATAGCAAAAATTAAAGAAACTAATGCATGCCCCGAATATTCAGGTTCTTGTATTGAAAGTCAACAAAATTTCTCTAAATTTCACATCATATAATTAAATAACAAATTACATGCACTGTTGCACACATAATTGGTTATACAATTCATGACATTAAAAAAAACATGTACATTTTTTTTTTTTTTGGTCATAAATGAGAGGTTTGAACATAGATTTGTTTAGACAGAGGCAAACATAAATGTCAACTGAGCTATGAACATCTAGAAAATCATACAGCACATTTAATAAGTTAGCCCCCTAAACTTTCAATGCTATGTTAGAACTCAAGTTATTTGTCTTGTTGGTTAAAGCTCATTCAAGGAACCGTAAAAGTGAATTTATATTGGAAGTATTCCTGTTCCGGCAGTGTAGTATTCCTGCTTGTGGGTCAAGTAAATTATTGGAAGTCAATATATAGTGGGCATATATATGCTCTTGATAATGGCTGGAATAACACAAAAGGATTGCCAAAGGAACTTGTGGTGTGCCAGTTTTTTTGCCTTGCGGTGTGAGATAGTAATGCTTGTCATTTTCGAATCCAAGGGCAAAATATGAAGTGACAAAACAGGAGAAGAAAAAGTTTGGTATATCATGGAGGGCAATTTTTGTGGTCATCATGAATATGTATGTATACATATATTTTTCTGTTCTTCCAAACATACAAACCAAGCCCATCATGTTCCTCAAATTTTTGTCGGCATATATTTTTCTTTTTTGTATTTTTAAGAAATTAGAAATGAACAAGAAAATTGTTATAAAAGATATCATCTTATGACCTGGAGAATGTCAGTAAAAGAAAAATGCTGCATTTGTAACTTTTTATTCACATTTTTTAACAATCAACAAATATCACATTTTCTTTTAGTCCAATTGATACTCTTATCCTCCTCCTCCTCCCCCTCCTTTTTAAATCTCAAATTCCAACGGTGCTTCTGGATCGAGATATAATAATTTTTTCAATCAAATTAAGACATCTCCATCTCACATATTGTGAACAAACTAGCTAGGATTCTTGTAAGAGCTAGCACAACTGGGCACATCAATTGTTGAAATGTTGTGATGGCTTTTGGCAGTAGGGTAGGTAAATCTCCCGGTAAACCAAGAACTATGTTCATATGACAATCTTGGGTAACAAAAATTAGCCCACCATTGTTTATTTTTAGATACTAATTAACAATCTCGTACCAGCAAACAAGAACGCCAAAATTACCAAGAAATTGACTTTTATGGTTTCTTGAATGAGCTTTAACCATCAAGACAAAGTACTAACATTCAATTTTTTCTTCTGCCATTGTCTTGGATGATATTAAGAGGTCATTACTAATAAATTACAAGTCCATTAGTTATTTCATTCAATATTTGAATCCCAATATATAAAACTTTTTTTCGAAAAAAAACATAATTAAAGCTTAATCAAAGAAAGATTTATTTTCAATATAACTGATCCGAAAATACTTTAATTTTTAAAGTAGTAGTAGTAGTAATAATAGTAGTAATAATAATAATAATGTGGTTTCATGTTTCTGTATATTGGCTTAAGCTTTGAGTCGCACAATTGGATGCATTAAGCTATAACATTTATGATTATATTTTTTGTTTCGAATTAAAAATTTAGGGCATTCTATTGGAAATGAATTATTTTTGGGAAACATGAACTTCAATATTCAGTTCTAAATCAAGTATGCATGTCGAGTTTTACACTCTTTTATGGTTCTGTTTTGTCGTTGTTTTAGTATTCTTATTACAATTTTTATGGATGTTTAACATTAACAAGACCTCCTCATATTTTTGTGTTTAATATATAAATTGTCTTGATATATTTTTTTTAACTGGGAAAAACTTTAATTATTTTGATTTTTTTATCTTTTTTCAAATTCCATTGAAAATTTCACTCCTTTTAAACTAAATTTCTGGCTTCGTCATTGGCCGTCCGGCTTAATCATCGTTGGAACTTTTCTCTAAATAATTAATTTAGTATTTGGATTCAATTAGATATGTAAGTTGTAAGTCTCAAATTTAATTTAACTACAAATTGTGCCTATCTCTTAAAAAACTTGACAGAAAATTTAAAAACCGTATAATTTTTTTTATCCAAAATATCTAGTTATGTATGGTGGTTTGATGGGACGAGATCTCAGTTTGTCACTTAATATGCATACTCACCTGCATTATTTACATTTTAAAAACTACTAACTTTTTGCAATTTTCTTAGAGCTGACCAGAGAATGAGGTATATAGGGATCAGAGAAGGTCCCTCCACTGGAACAGCTTGCTAAGTGCTCAAAACATGCAGACGTAAAGAAGTCAAAAAAGGAGAGGATGTGCTTATCTTCGTTTGGCCAAAAGAAATGGAATAAAGTAACTCAATCAATACCAAAATGATGCTTTCCAAACTGATCTCTTCAAAAATTCTACATTCCTCCTTTGAAGCACAAAACTAATAAGGCAATTATTTAGCTTAATGATTTCTTCAAAAACTAGATTTTGATTTATGTTGTATCAAAAGAAGAATGTTGACCCTATCATGTCATCCTTTTTCAACCAACATTGCTATAGCAGATCATAACAGTTTGGATGCCAAGAAATTGGGTTTATCACCAACAAGAAAACACTCAGACTTGTTATCCAAAATTTTGTTTATAAATACTATAATGTTATTAAATGAACGGAACAGTTTTTGGCTAAGTATATGATAGAATAGGGCATTGTCTCAATTTAAGAACGTTGGAGTTTAATTAAGTTGATTTGAAATATATGATTAATTTTAGTGACTATGACGGATCAACATTAATATATCATGCATGATTAATTGTTCTCAAAAGAGCTAGGCTGAAGTAACTTTCAAAATAATTTAATTATCATCACTATATAAAATATTCAAGTTGGTTTTTTTCTTCCTTCCTTATTCTTTGCAATCTTTTATATATGTTAATTAAACAAGTTCTTAATAGAAAATTAAGACTTTGAAATGAGTATGTCGTAGTACTATATATGCCCTCCGTCGGTTTAATTTCCTGCCCAAATAAGGAAAGCACGTATTCCTGTCTAGAAAAAGTTAGGTTCCCAAAAAAGGATAAGTCCAACAAGCCGCTGCCATCTGCATATATTGGAGGAAAATCAAGAGACAGAACGTGGGGATGATACCAATTATAGCTAGATAGTTGTCTTTATTCTTCCTCTCGACAGAAATGGGGCTCCTCTCCCAATTGATGGAATGGTATTTGGCCTTTTATAGTCCGTTCTATCCATTGATGTATGCCTTCCAATTCGTTTGGATCACAGAAAAACATGTCAGCATGATATTTTTAGTTGGAATCTAAATGGGACAGCAAAAATGACACTAATTTTTTTTTTCCTTCTTTTTGGCCCTAATGTTTCATCTTCTCATGTCATATATAATTAATGTGGAATATTTCAATTTAATTAGTCATATTTTACAAGCCGAAAACAACATAAAAGATAAATTCGAGTTCTAAATTATTTATAAAATATATGAAATCAAAGAGTAGCATTTTCCCATTTTATGAGAGACAACTTTAGCTTTTTTTATTCAACTAATTTGCTTTCTTGGATTTCTATAAAGAGTTTTATATATATCAACTAGATAAACGTCCTTGCAAACAGAGATTGATAATTTTATTTTTTTCAGTATCTTTTTTATTCAAAACCTACATATATAAATGCGAAAAATAAATATTCTGCTTGTGCCAATGTCTCAAAACTAGGATCGAATTTGTCTTTGATTCAATTTGTCTATAACAACATGGTGTTGGCATTGGAAAGATTTATGGCGAAGATTAGCTGAAGTTGATTGAGCAAGAAAAAGGAAATTGTGGGGGGATGACAGGTGGAAAGATTGCGGTCGTCACCGCCCATGTTCTTGCAGCAAAACTGACCAACGATTATGATGATTGATGAAGAAAAAGTAGGATAAGATTTTAGTGATGGGGGATTGGCCAGCTTTCTACTTTTTCTTCTTCATGCTTCTGGCCAACTTGCATGTATGCCCAATGACCTTTGACTCCAATGCTGAGTACTTCCATGGTGTAAGATAAATTAAGATATAGTTAGCAGCAAAGCCAATGTTAACAATTTATGCTGATTCTAGCCAACACCAATCGCCAAGGTGGTTAATTATTAGTATATGTGGTAGTTTCTCCATATAGCATCATTAGCAACATCACTTTTTCAGTGGAGATATTGATTTGGATATATGAGGTATATTGTGAAGTCTTTCTTATTTTATAATTTGGTATAACTTCATATATATATATTCTCGTAGACATGCATACTTTTTAAGAATATAAGCCATAAATTGATTAAAAAAAACAAGGATTCGAACTTTGATGCTACAAACAACAAGTGCATTAGTGGTACCAGACTCAGCCTATGTGGTTTCCATGGATGTGATTTAGTACCAAAACAGTTGTCTTCATTTGACCTAAAAATAAAATTTAATTTTCACAATTAACAAATAATTAGTCATAATTATTATTTAATGGTATCAAGTTTGGGCTCGTTTAGTATAAAAAAGAAGCTAGTCATCAATCAAAAGTTAAATATATTTTAATATTAACTTAGTCTAGAAATTAAAGATTTAGTCTCGATTGATATAAAAATTAGTCCCAAAATACCATATTATTTATAAACATCATAAAAAAAAAAAAAAAACAAGTCCATTAGAAATGACACACGAACTACTTGCACAACTCCATAGCAACTGTAGATATGTATTTTGCTGCCATAACTAATTCCCTCAACATCAGAGAACAGCATTCTTTAATCAGATTTTGGTCCTCACATATGTCAATCATGTGAGATTAGGGATTTTTAGGATCTTAAAGGTGGTAAAATGCTCATCAATGCTGGGTTAGAGATGCTCGTATCACATTCATTTTAATATTTTTATTATTTCTATTAGCTTTCTAAAAATGATGATGGATGTATGGACGAGCATATGTAATTGAAATGGTTTATCTACTTTTAGGATTCAATTGATTATTATTATTATTATTAAAATATCAAATTGTGTGTATCCTAACAATATAGGAACAAGTTTGTACCTATCCCTTTTGTTTGGTGCTCAATTTTTCAAGTTATCTCCCTACAAGATAAAAACATGCGCTATAAGCTGTAAAAATGAGATTTAAATCCTTTGATGTTTCCTCATAAACATGTGTGTTTCTTAAATCAAAACCATCAAATTCAAATTGGATGTATATGATTTAGTGTAGAATAAAAACAATAATAACTTAACTCATAATTTTTTTATTTCTCTCACCTAATTCAGATCATTGAATTCAAAATTAATGATTAAGTTAGAAACATGACGAATAATATATATATATATCCAAATTCATAAACATGGATGATTAATAGCATTAATATCGTACACACAAGGGATTGGGTTATCCTTAAATTAGAAAACACTAATTATGACACAAATTAATTGGTATCCCTCCTGGAAAAGAATGCTTTTTTATTAATTAGATAGATCTAGGGGATTGTCAATTCCCTCTTTTTGGTCACTAAAATTCAAATCTCAAGTTGATTTAGGAGTAAAATTCAAATAAATCTCCTAACCTAAATGTTAGGAAATATTTTTAATTTAATGGATTGAAAATATAATTTAATTTAATTTTGATACACAAAAATTGGCATGAAATGAACTAAAAAAAAATTGATGAATAAGCATAAAATAATTTCTTTATGACTTTGTCCTACAAACAAATTAAGTTGATTACAAAAAGATCCAGCTACAATTCATGTCATTACCTACTCTAAGAAACTTCTCTTCATTGACAATGTAGTTAGGAAGCTTGAATATTTTAAAAATGTCTTCCTATTCATATTGACTTATCTTGGATAGGGGTATGCGTCAGATTTGAGCCTATACATATGGGATACATGATAAATATGATTAAAAATTAAAAAAAAAAAATCAAATTTGAATATGTTGGGGATATGTTTAGTATACAATCAAGATACTTTTTAGAGTTAAATTTGTAAGTTTTTTTTTTAAAAAAAAAAATGGAACAAATATATTTCTAATCAGTTTTATAATTTAAATACTTAGATATAATTATAAAAAATTATCTAATTCTTTTAGCATAAGTATCAAATTAAAAGGTATATATGTAGCAATAATTAATTAAATTTGAAAAAGGGAAAAAATTGAAATTATCCATATTTCTTTCATAATCACTTAATTATCAAATATAATTTGATTTTTAGATGCCCAAATTATTTTAATTGCAATGAAAAATATAAATAACTTGACTTCTATCATTTTCCTTTAAAATGTCATATATCCTTGCATTCAATTGATTAAATGTTATTGTTGGTTGTATTGATTTTTTAACTGTTAATTTTATTAATTTTAAAATAATTTTTTTATAATATAAATGTTTAATGCATCCCTCGTGTACATATCCTATCATAAATTTCTAAGAATCATCCTATCCCATATCTATGTCTGTGTTTCGTAATAATGCAGATTCGGAATAAAAGTATCATTATTGACAAATGACTGTAAAACTTAGAACAACTGCTATTTTTTGTCCCAATAATGTTCTAAATAATTAATGAAATTGTTTATAAGCTATAAAGAGAGGCAAAGTCCCACGAAAAAAAATTAAAAAAAAAAATTTCATGGATGTGAAAATCATTATTTCATTAGGTACTCTAGAGTTTTTTTTATTATTATTATTATTATTAAAGTCAGGCAATGCAAATGGTGTGACACTTCTTGTACTAACATTAATTATGCATGATCCATGGTTAATTATAATAAATGTATAATATTCTTAGACAATATTGTGTAACGGTTAATTAATCATCATATGTTTCAAGTTGGCACTCACTTTTTTTATTGATAGATGCACACCTATCTCATGAAAAAGTGGCTGGGGGTACAACCATTATTGCATAGTTTTCTCCTATAAATACAGGTGTTGGAGATGAACTAGGTCATATACAACAAAACTAACATACACAAACACACTCTCTCCCTTGCCCCTTCCTCCATTTCACTGTTTTCTCCTCAAATGATAAGGATTCTCATGAATTCTTCGGAATCCAAATCTCTGAGCACTGGCCTCTTTTATTTCTGTAATTTTATTTTGAATTATGTGAGGGGCACCGGTGATGTTGTTGACAGAAGATAGAGAGCACTGATGATGAAATGCAGGGAGCCTGCATCTCACTCCTTTGTGCTCTCTAGGCTTCTGTCATCACCTTCAGCCTCTCACTCCATGGTTTAATTGCTTATACTTTTACCATATTACTCTTGAGCTTGTTTCATGAGCGTTAATGGAGCAATATAAAAAAATTAATTAATTAATTAGTTAATTAATTACTCCCAATTAAACATATCTTTTTTTTTTTTTTGCTTCACTGAATGATAGCTAAAATGTTGTATTAATTTTATTGTTTCTTTCTTATATTCCTCTAATATACAAATTTATTTAGCAGGTGTAAATGGTATGCTGGGAACACCAAAGGATTCAAAGTGGTTACATGGATCATCTTCAACAACACTTTCACAGTACGTACTGAATTCCAACACCGTACACATGGCTTAATAATTTTGCTGATTGACGAATGTATTTGCATTTCTCGACCCTAAATCACCCTAGCTAGCTACTCATGATAATATCTAAAGTAGAACTTTTCCCCATCCATTCTTCAATTTTGGGAAGGAACAGTTTTGTAGCTTAAACAGCTAAAGGACTGGACAGTCAGAACATAAGCTTGATATCTTCTTCCCTGAGCACTAATTTCTTCAATAGGTACATCTCATCTCACTAAAATAAATATATAATTTTTTTTTTTTTTTTTTTTTTTTTTTGAAGAACCACTAAACTAGTTAGTTGGAATCCGTTGATTTTTTTTTTTTTTTGCTACTAATTAGTCCTAACAATTACTGCAGGTGCTTTTGGGGTGCTGAGGAACACCATATATTGCTCGAGACATAATCAAGTTCCAAGCCACATAAGTCATGGAAATTTTATAATTCAGACATGAAGAACTAGCATGAGTGGTGATGCCATCTGGAAGGGGCATTAATCAATAGTATGATACCCTTTTTAACATCTGCTCAAGCCATGAACTAAAGAGATTTGGTGTTATATAACGTGCTTTCCCTCCAAATTTTGCATGAGGAGTCACTTGGGTCTGTAAGAATGTGGACTTACACATAAAAATGTACACTATCTTAGCCAAAATGTCTAAACTAATAGGTTATATTTCATCTTATATATAAGCAACTTATTTGTTTCATTCCTTTTCAATATAAGATTGTTACCGTTCATATGTGTATCCAATAATATCTCTCTACATGTGAATCTGGTTCATTCGGCCACAACTTCCCTTCTAGCAGGTTCTCTGAGTCCACATGAAAAGATTTACACTAGGAAGTCACTTGGATCCATACGCGTAAGTATTTATCCACAAAGATGAACTCCACCTTAAGTCAAAAGTATAAACTAATAGGTTATAAATCCATATTACATGTAAACTTATTCTTTTTTTTTTTTCCATTCATTTTTAATGCGGTATATTTACCATTCACATATCTACCCAACAATTGTAATTTTCATAAATGTAGTTAATCAAAGATTCGGGTCTCCATCACTTTGTGGTTTAGTAATCTCTGTGATCTCCACAAACATCCTTCTTTTTGTATATAGTTGAAGTTGATCATCATGAATATAGAACAAAGTCCAATCATATAATATTCATTGAACTATGTACAGTTTATAGGTTGATCATGCTACTAAGCTGATCAATAACCAAGAAAATGTTCGTGGAGTTAGCTGGTTTGTTTTTTCTGATCACTTTGTCCTTTTTTCTTGAATGTTGTTCCAAGTGCCCTTAATTTCTACTAGTATTGGGACTGTCCATTTTTGGATAATATTAGCTAGCTACTTCAAATAAGTATATTTGTCACAACAGGCCAGTATATTTTATACTTTTGTAATGAAATTTATTGTTGGGAGATGAAGTACGTATTTTGCAATGTTCCTACAGTATATATCTGAAGATTTATAACTTTTAGTGGATGTTAATTAATTAATTATCCAGGCTTGAACTAGTCCTTTAATTCAAAAACTCTGAATTATCTGGGAAATTTCCAGGTTAGTATTAATTATTTCATGAGTATTGTGAAAAAAATCGATGCATAATGAATTGCAAATGGCAGTAAGAAAAACAGTATCATGAAAATTTAGCCGACATGTATAGCAGAAACTCATGCCAGGACACCCTAACATATAAATATATATATATATATAGTACGATTTTTAGGGTTTTCCTCGTTTCATTGTCATCTTTAATGTACTTCAAAACTTTCCCCTTAAATGATCTAATAACAGGAGCTAGCTTAGACATACTTTCAGACTAAACTAGCTAGTTGACAACTATATATCTCATAAAAATTAAAAACTGAAAAGCTAAAATAAAATGATTGATTACTATTTATTGCACTAGTTGAAATATTGTTCACTCAAATTTACTTTCATTATTTACTCAAACTCAAATGCACTATTTCTTTTACTATGTAGTGGTATTTTTGTAATTTTAAATATTTTAAAAACATTTATTATGAAAATTTTCGTGACATTATACGTTGATTCCTCTTTTGTAAATATTATTTTTTTAATCTGTAAATTTTTTTGTTTGATTTTAGTTTTTTTTTTTGTCACTTTAGTTCTTTTTTTTCTGATTTTTTTAATTAAAAATTTTAAGGCAAAAAAATGTTTGAAAAAACAATTAACAAAATAATTTTTTAGCTAAGAATCCATTGATTTTGTTTTTTTATACTATTATAAATTTTTTAGTTTGTGAATAGAGATTAAAAAAAATAATATTTTTTAATCAAAAAATTATAAAAAATATAAAGAATAATCAGTCAAATACAAAATTTAATTAAAAAAATTATAAAATTGAATGAATTTTTATTTAATTTTGGTTTGATATATTTTAGTATATGTATGATCGAACACGAAACATTAAACTAAAATAATTTTATATGTTTTGTCAAATCCACACACACAGATATATATATATATATATATGAAAGTTAACACAAGGCAGCACTGGTCGTCAGTTTTCGGGAAGGTAATGAGAAGGGAGAATAAGGGAGAATAATTATTAAAATTCCGTCAATTGCTTCGATGATGAATGAATGCAGTGAAAACAATGATGCACAGAGATTTTCTAAGGAAATGTCATTAATTAAGAGTCCATCTATCCCATGCCTTATTTAGTTTTTAGCGGTTTTCTCTTAAAGTAAATTAATTAAGCAATTAAATTATTAAAAATAATCACAAAAGGCTGTTTAATTTCTTTAAAAACTAAAATAAGCAGCTCGAAAATCTTAAGTTATAGTTTTGAATTTCTATATCAATAAAATTGTCTAATATGGATCTAAACAAAAGTAATCTTAACGTTACTCTGAGTTTCTATGGATGTTCTTGAAATTATATGATGTTTTATTCCGCAAAAAATTATGTTATATTAAGTTTCATGTTTTTTAGAACTATATTATCTTTGAATTAACGCTTAGATAAAATCAATGATTGATTTTTCTTGATTGTTTGCTTTTGCATAACTAAAATTCTAAATAAAAATAAATTCAAGTAATTTACTTTAATCTTATAACTAAATCTTGCATTTAAGTCTTATAATTTGTTATAAAACTGATCGGTTTAGAGCAAGATTGCAAATAATAAATTTAAAAAAATAAAAAATTAATTGAACATACATATTTTACATGGAAAGTTCCTAAACAAATCAGGATAAAAACCATAGTGAAGGATAAAAAAATTTCCATTATGAAAAATAATATAAGATACAAAACTCTCTATTTTTTTTTTAAAAAAAAAACACTATGTTTAGCTAGCTATTGATGGAATCTCTTATGAGATTTTGAGATAAATTGAACTGATTTATAGGCCTCCCAAGGTTTCATCACGCGGCTTGGATGGACAGCTAAATTTCACCTGTCCATTAGGATAATATGTATAAACGGTTAATACAATTAGTTGGTGTTTGGTTTACAATTAAAAGTTCACTTTCCTCTTCGAAATCACACTTCCAAGAAAGTGATTTTCGGAAAAATTAATCATAGGATATTAGAATTTTTTAGTTTCCTGAACAATTTAGAATTCTGAGTTTTTTTTTTTAATTTTTTTTGGTGTTTATTGATTCCTTGAAAGTTATACAGATATTTGAATTAAAATACTATCTTATCCTTATTTATTTTCATAAAATAAAATTTTATTAATGTTTAATTAATTATACTCATAAAAAATTAGAAAAAAAACATGTACTAATAAAAGGAATCTCTAACTATATTATCATAAAAATTAATATAATATCTAAAATTAGTGATTTAATATCATACACTAAACTAAATTTGATTTATTATAAAAAGCTTTAGAGTGATTTGGTTTACAATCCTCTTAAATTTGTTCTCCATGATAAAAATTAGGCTAAGGGAAAGAATGTTTTGAACTAGTCCGTAAACTAATTTTCGAATATTTTTGACATGTATTGTAAACAATTAATGAAGATATATTAATCATAATATTAATTTTTACTTTCCCAATATCCAAGAAATCACTTGATCAGTTTGGAAAACTCTGAAGAAGTTGTCAACCCAAACATATTAATATTTATGGTCAATGACTTATTATGTAATTACATAATAAGGTAATTCTCTAATATGTTTTTATATTTTTAATTGAACTAATTTTATCATTAAATATAGATTAAGTTTTAATTTAATTTAATTTTTTGATAATATTTTCAGATCAAACCATCGAATTAATATGATTTACACAAAATGAATTTTTATTTTTAAAATACACTTACAAACTAAATAAATATAAAATATTCATATGACAATCACGTGACTAATTTTGATAATTTAGCTTAAAAATCTTGCCATAATAATAAATTAGAAATTTAACATATATTTAAAGTTAAAATTAGCTCAATCAAACATATAAAAATAGATTAAAAATTACACTATTATATGACATTTATGTGATAATCACGTGACTAATTCTAATTATTTGATTTAGAAATCTTGTCAGAATAATTGATAGTAACTTAACGTATATTCAAAATTAAAATTACTTCAATTAAAAATGTAAAAACATATTAAAAAATTACACTTCATATACAAATTAAATCAATAACTCTTATATTTGAAATCGTACTCCCAAATCCCTTTTTCCTTGATTATGTGATCGATCCAAATGTCATCTTTATTCATTTTTTTATAATTTTTTATCGACTTTATCAACAATAAAGCACAACAGTTCATTAACTAATAATAAATACTTTAATATGCTTCTTTTTACAACACAACACATTTATTCAAGACTTCTGCTATTTAAAGCCGCCGAAGCTTCTATGATAGCTTTAACTGGTAATGGCTTTGGAATTGTAAGAAAATCCCCGAATCAACCTGCATGAATTAATTTAACAATTTCCGAATAAATTAAATGCTTAGAATTCTAAAATATATTTAAGATTATGAAAGATAAGCATGTGATTTTGACGTCCATAATACAACAATAATATATATAAGCCTGCTTAATGTGTTAGTTGATATGGAATACCAAAAGTGGTTGTATGATCTACTAAAATATATTTAATATTATGAAAATGAAGAATCAATTTTCCACCAAATTTATGGATCTATGAATGGAATTTAATTTGGCAGCTAAGTGGAGAATTCTTGGTGGCGAAAGTCATCTAGAAAATGGTGATTCCTTCCTGACATCAAAGTGGAGACCGAATTCTTGACGTGATGAACTACTTGCATCCAAATTCAGATGCAAGAGCTTCTTGAAAAATCTATAGATCATCCAACTTGAATATGCATGTAATGAGTATCCGTTACTACAATTTAGTTAGAAATCATGATTCAATATTTTTAAAAGAAAATTACACTAATATGCCTGCATTTTCAATAAGGAATGGCTTTTCTTTTTTTCTTTTAAGAAAAGTTTAGAAATGCTCACCCATTAACAATTTTTTAAATGCTCAGCCATTAATATTTTTGAAAATAATTTAGGAACAAAAAATATTTTCTTAAACATTTTGGAACAACTTTGAACGTATTAAAAAAAAAACAATATTGGCTGAGAATTTCATGGACGGGTATGTTGGTTTTTCTAAAACTTCTGAAGGGATATATTGAAGTGTATTGGGATTAAAAATTTTATGGGCTTTGTTTTTTATTGGACGAAGTATATGTTGTATAAATTGTTTTCTCGAATCTGTCCTTTCAAATTCCATAACGAACTCACCAAAAATTACAGTGACTTTGATGCTATAAAGGTCAAAGCTCTCTGTTCAAGAACGTGGGACCCAGGGACCTTGACTCCCAGCATCTCTCAGGAAAGAAAATGCTATAAAGCCAGTAAGATGCAATCTTCACTTAAAAATGGGGAGAAGGAGAGATGCATGCATTGTTTCTTTCGTGTAAGAACAAAGGACCAAATGGGATTCCGAAAGGATTCCTCAAAATATAACCAATAATTTGGATTGGAAGATGTAGAAAAGGAATAATAGAATACGACAAAAGTCATTTCATCCGGACTGATTCCATGGTCAAAGAAAAGTATCTATTCCATTGCAGAAGAATTTCCATCATTTTTAGTCCATACACTTGAATTTTAAATTCCTAGTGCTTGCTATCGGCACTTGAATTGTGTCGCAAGTATCTGCTACTTTTTAATATAGTTATGAAATAATCGTTCAATTTTGGAAACTACAAGATGTATGAATTTTCTCTAACGAAGTAGTAGCTTTTTTTTTTTTTTCTTTTTTTTTTATCTTTGTTAGATTTAATAAGTTTCATGACATTCATATATAGTTAATTTCATGGTTTTTTTGGATTAAATAATCTAAGGAAAAGAATGATCTAATTTACTACCATATATTCTTTCTTTTTTAACAACACAAATGACCTAAATAGGTTAGAGAATGAGAGGGGTAGAATTAAGTTGGATTGGGCTTAATTAAGTCTGAAAAAAATAAAAAAGGAGAAGAGAAAAAGGTTCAACAAGCTAGCCTAATGAGCTTGGCCCAATGGATTGAAGGCATACCGGGCCCAAATAGCCAAATAACCCTATATTTTTACCAATTCCTTAGGCAAATGAGCCCCGAATTTTTTTTACATGCCTTTTATTTTATGCTTAATTTAGGCTTAATATTTTGACATTCTTGAATTTATTTAGTTAATTTTATGATTTATTTCAATAAATTAAATTAGATAATTAATAGATGGATGAATTGTCGAATCTCTTAATTTTTAGGGACCGATGACAATTCTCCATCAATTAAAAAAATAAAAAGTATGAAAAGAAAAAAATAAAGAAACACTAAGAAAAAGATAGAAAAAAGAAAAAAAATGTGAGGGAAAAGATTTTTTTTAAAAAAACATAGAAAATAATAGGAGAAAATTAACAAAGTCTCATATCCATTAGAGACTAATGTTAGCCCAAATCAATCATTTTAATAATTAGTTCGTTCTTCGACATATCAATTATGTTGAGACTTAAACTAGATTCGATGTTGAGCCGACGTAATGTTTAATGGAGGATTCGATGATCGATTCAACATGATGCCATATAGAAAAATAAAAAAATTTAGTTTGACGAGAGAAAATAAAAATTGAAATTTTGACAAGGATTAATTTTGGGAAAAATAGAATATTTTAGGAGAAAACTTTTAGGAATAAACTAGACATGGTATCTTTCTTAGAAAAAGGCATTTTTACCTAATTGATATCTTTCCAAAAGCATAACCAACTTCTTACCCTAGAATCTTTGCATTAGTACCCCTTTTAGGTTCGTATTTTATTTAATACCAGTGTGGTGACTCGAAATTAATAATAACTCATATCCTCAAATAAATAAGATTTTTAACAAATAATAAAATAAAATTTTGAGAGTCTCGCGAATGTCAAGTAACGACACTTTGTACAAACTCTATCATGATTTAAAGCTTACAATAGAAAAATAGCATATCCAATCTAGTTCACATTGTTGCATGCATTTTTACTTCAAGTAAAACTAAGAAAGGCCCTAGAACGAACCATTAATAGGAAATCGACACAATGAGTGACAAAGTTAGTTCAAGCCGGCATCACAAGCGCACGCTCTCTAGGTTCAAGTAAGAGACAAGCCCAAATAAAAATGTCATAATCTTTTCCTCTATTGAATATCAAATAACTTAAGGGTCATGGCATACCAATCAAGGGGAGCCGTGTTCTATTTTAAAGACCTAGTTTCTCCAATCACCATAAGCTCTTCCCACCATAAACCTCATAGTTGTAGGAATTAAGAAAACCAAACTATAGAAAAATCCAACCAAGAGAAGTTGTCTACTATTGAAGAACCAAGTGAAGCCAATAGAGGGCATGGATTGTATGACTCGATGAGAGCTACCAAGATATGCCTCGTGCCAAACATGGTGATTTCAAAAAATTTAAGTTCTCTCGAATTCACCAAGTACATCGGCACTCGGTGTCCAAAAATCCATCTTTGGATTTATTGCAGCAAAATAGTAGAAATTATGCATGATGAGAAGCTACCGGTCTATTTCTTTCATGAAAGCCTAAGTGGTACCGCCCTCAATTGGTACATGCATCTTGATAGAACCAAGATTTGAAAATGAAAAGATTTGGAAAATGCATTCATCCATTATTGAAGGTTCAATTTGGAAATGGCTCTTGATAGAACTACTCAACAAAGTATGAAGAAGGATCCTAGAGAGACTATCAAATAGTATGTATAGAGATGGTGTGAAGTCGTCGCCCAAATATATCCACCATTGATAGAAAAATAGTTTATTCATATGTTCATTAATACTTTTAAATCCCCTTACTTTGAGTTTTTGATAAGCAGTACCTTATCTAATTTTGTTAATGTGATAGTCATCGGTGAAAGAGTAGAACATGCTCTTAAGTCATGAAAGATTTTAGGTACCAACTTGAGGAAAAGTAATTTTGGCACCATCAAAGATAATGAGATTAGCTAGTTGGAGTCCACTAATTTCCAACCTCGAGGGATGAGGAATAATCAATGTCACCAAAATTACTTCCGTATTTAACAAGGGAAAAGCAACAATCAAACCCCAATTACCCTTATAAATAGTTCCCACTTCAATATCTTTTGTAATAACCCGAAATTTTTCTCATTTTTATTTTTATTTTTATTTTTATTTTTATTTATTTATTTATTATTTATTTTATTTTATTTTATTTTTGTTTTTATTTAATTTGAAGTTTACTAAAAAAAGAAAAAAAAAGAAAGAAAATGATGAAAAAACATTAAAAAAAATCATTTAGGTACGCATTTAAAGTAATTATGGGTGTAATCGAGTCATTTAAAAAAAATTAAGCCTTAAATTGCACCTCCAGGGAGCTAATTGATGAGATTGTGCTGAAATTATACCATCGAATGGCGTAATTGTGGAAATTGAAACGCAAGGACTAAACCGAAAGTTTGGAGCGAACGACAGGACCAAAATGGAGAAGACGACCTGTCATCCACTCCAAGGAAAATTCTCTCCGAAAATCTTTGGAGAAATGTGCCAAATCCAAGATCAAATTTCCTGTTTGATTATGCATTATTGGATGGAATTAATACCAACAAAAAATCAAGCAATTTCCTGTTTTGTTTTTGCATTAATCATGAATTAAAGAGAAAAATTTTCATAGAAAATTTTGGGATTTGAGATTCAATTCTTAGAGAAATTTTAGAAAATTTTGTGTTATAAAACATTTTGAATTTCGGAGAAAAAGAGAGAGAAAAATTAGGCAAAGGATTCCGGGTTGAGAGAGTTTGAAAATCGAAAGCAAAAGGTTTAATTTTAATTTTTGGTCTTTTTTTTTTGCTGGGTTTCGTGTTTAGTGTTCTTCATGTTCTTGGTGTTCTTGAGTCCGGGTTTTAGTTCATAGGCTATCAGTCTCTTTTGGTGTTTGATTTTGTATTTCTAGGGGCTAAATATCCATCCTCACTTCTTTCTTCACTCCTTTTTCCAAATTTCGAGGTTCAATTCCTGCGTTTTCGATCCTTTACGTTTCCGGGTAGCTTTACCGACATTCTTATTTTCTCGTGTTTGTTCTTCACTCGCTGGGTTTGGGTTCATCATTCCTTGGGTCGATCAAAGGGCATTTAAGTCTCGTGTTGGGGGAAAATATCATAGGTTTGGGGTTTAGTGAACGAGGAATCAACAACAAGGGTTCAAAATTGTGAGAAATCAGCAACTTTGGGTTCTGCGTTTTCGAGTTTTCTAGGTTGTTCTTAAATAATCCCGAGTTAGTTTGGGGTCCGATTCCGCTTGCTTTGATTTTATTCATTTGTTTTTTTTATTTGCATATTTTTTTTTTTTTTTTATGATTGGAGATATTGGCTTGCCCGATTGACTTAGTTAATCGAAGGTAATTTCGGCAAAATTGAGGTATTAGGTAGACAAAATGAAAAATGAAGAACAAGAGAGAGAGAGGATGAATGGCTTAAAATTAGTGTTTTGATTGAAATTTTGAGTGTTGTTTCGTTGGGGTTGTTTATGGGCTTTGGCCCGATCCGAGGAGAAATAAAAATGGATGGGCTGGATTGTCCAACCCATCTTGTTATTAAAAAAAAAAAAAGCAAGTGGCTGGACTAATTTCAGCTCTAACTCAACCCGAGGCAAACAAAAAAGAAAGAAAGGGGTCAGGCTGATTTCACTGACTCGCACCTTTTCTCCCAAAAAATAAATAAATAGAATTAGGGAAGAAAAAAATAAGTCAAAGAAAAAAATAAGAAGGAAAAAATGGAAAATTGGAGATGGGTAAAAAAAAAAAAAAGTAAAAGTTGTGGGTTAATATTTTAGGTATATGATGATTTTTTTATTTCATTACTTTTATTGTTCATTTATTTTTTAGCCTCGTTTATATAGGATGATTTTTTTTATTTTTTTATTTTTATCTTTTATTATTTATTTAATTTTTTTAGCTTCGTTTATTTTTATTTCTTATTGTTTTTAGGTATTGATTTAGATTTGTTATTTTAAATTTTAAATTTTGTATTTTCTTTTCTTTAATATGTATTACTAGAAAAAAAAAATCTTGACGAAGTCTCCTATCTAATAGGGATCGATGTCATAAAAACAAATTCCTAAAAATTTTGGCGAAGTCTCCTACTTGGTAGGGATTGACGCCACCAAAAAAATAAATAAATAAATTTGACGAAGTCTCCTATCTAATAGGGGCCAACGTCACCAAATTTAAAATTTTCGACGAAGTCTCCTACTTGATAGGGACCGACGTCATCAAAAGTCACCTTTTAATTAAGACGTCTTCCAACAAGCCAGTTGTGTCAAGGCTTTTAGTGGATCCGATGTTTGAATCGACATGTCACCCGACGAAGG